TTACATGCAAGATACGAAGGGTGCCTTTTGATGTTTCGGGATTTGGCAACCCTGGTGTTGCAATCTGGCAACTGACAGCTCTGTCGTAAAGTTGGATGTTTTGAGGCTATACGTACTCGAAACGTTTTGACATACGAGCGCTATTTGTGTTGTTTATAGTAACTTAAAAGATTCATCTTGGCTCAAAAATTGCAATTAAATCGTGAACATTTTCGTGCTATTATGTTTTACAACTTTCGGCGTGGATGAACTTAATTCAATTTTTGGCTATGAAGCTGCATCAAGGACCAGTGTTTATCGATGGCATGGTGAATTCAATCGTGGTCGTAGTGGCGGGACTGAAAGCCAAAGTTTTTGGCGCTCCCTAAAACACTAAATAGTCACTAGGTGCACTCAGGGAGCAGCTACAATGTCATCTGGCTAGGAACTTTAGTTTTACTTCCAGGACATCTTGCAGAGGGAATTTGGCTCAGAGAAGTATTTTAGGCTCGAGGTTACTTTATATGCCGGAAATGAATGGCATGGAACGGACCGCTTAACTACTCAGTTTGCCCTGCTGCACATTATAACATGTCTAGTACTACAAAATTACCGACTGTCAGGGATCGTGAATTCTCTCTAGAACAGTCTTCGTCTATTTGATTAAGCTATTTATTATGTCGATGCACATTGCACAATAATGATATTTGTTTATCAGTAACAAAGAATTCTGCACATTCCTTCATTTTCTCTCTTTGATTAACTTCTGTTGAAATGTTCGTAGAGGTTCGAAGCAAGAAAATTATTTCGGTCTGAAAATACTTTTAGGTCATTATGCAACGTGGTAACCAACAAACGCCGTAATGCAACTTCGAAAAGCAACGACACGCTATCTAATTGATAAAAAATGCCCGACAAAGGACAAGGAAATATTTTCAAGTGACATGTAGAGATATACTAAGTGGTATTCTTGGCGTCCATACTACTTTATCTATTATATATTAGGTTCTGACTAAGCTGTCTAGTTATGTGGCCACAATCCGTCTCTCTCCTTATCTTGTTCAACCCTGTTTTCATCCAGTGCCACCACGTGCTGGTTTGCCATTACCTTCCATGCCACATACCGCAGTGGGAAGAGAGCACCCACAACCCTACAGAAGAGCGGTTGCCAAAGTACCTGTGCTCTTCAGGATGGCTACGATTGACACAAACTAAACACCGATAAAGAACAGTGTCATTCAAAGTCCGATATAGGTATTTTTCAGTAAAGTAAGTTACGTAATGAGTCCGCAAATCACGTGATTCACACATTTTTTTACTGTTCCTAAAAGACAATATTATTGTCTTTTAGTTCTAGCAGAAACCAGAGAGAAAAGGATTATTTCGTTTTAACTCGTCAAAATTATTTCAAAAAATTCTTTTAAAAATTGGACAAATCTTCATCACGTTTTTGGTTGACATTTGTTCCACCGAAGCAATACTTTTTTTTTAATTCATAAAATAACACGAAATGTGTTTGTAATGGTAGAATGGGGAAACCAAAACCGGTAGCGAAAAGTAAATTAGCATATCAATCGAAAGTGAAACGTTTGATGACCGGTTTGATACCTTGTCGGAAGCACGGGCGTCACCTCCGGGGGAGGGGCGGGCGTCCCCCTAAATATTTTTTGGCATATGAGGTGATGCACACCTTCCTGATAATTTAGTTCTGGCGGCGCGATAGGTGGAAGAGATTATATTTCGATTATTCTGTAGTGGCCGATGACATTGGGTCATTGTTACCCGTCCTGTCTTATAAAACGAAACTTTTTAATAGTTGTAAGCACAATCCCGTCGCTTCGACCCCCGTTGTGAAGGTCTTCAGCGAATTAATTAAAAAGATTCGTTTTATAAGGCAGGAGTGTAACATTGCCCTAATGCCATCAACTGCTTTAGAAGAATCAAAGTATATCGCGTCGCTCGGGCGCACGTACTCGCTCCAGCCGAGCAAGCGAGGGGGCGCCGGCCGTGAGGGCCGCTGCGGAGCGCAAGCGGGCGGGGCGGGCGGGGGGGCGGGGCGGAGACTGGCGGAGAGGCACGGCGCCGAGGCGAAACGCTCTTAACGCCACTTGCCCACATGCCGCGACGTAAATAGCCCGCCGCGCTCCCAGCGCCGCCGCCGCCCCGCCCGCGGCCGCGCCAGCCGACGCTCTCGCCTCGCGCCTCCCGGCTCTGCTTCGTCCCGTTTCACTTGGATGAGCGGCGGGCGCGGCGGACGTACCGTTTTCTGAATATCGGGGAAACGACTGAGATATGTCAATGCAGTTGAAAATTTCAGGGAAAATGGCAGTTTCCTACACAGTCTAGTGTCAGTTCTCTTGTAGAATATAATTAAAAGTGAATTTAAAGGGAAATTTCAACCACGGTTTGCTTAAAGAAGTAAAGACAGTGTAGAAGTTTTAATAATTTGGGCGCCGGCCAATCAAAATTTAATAATGCACAATATAGAATATTGCTTACAAATGCATATGAGTGGTAAATTAATATTTACTAGTTTACATTTCCTTTCTTATTCACCTGCAGTTGTCCACAACATTTCCAAACGCCGGTGAAAAAGCGTTACAGTTGGCCGACATTGAATAAAGAATTTTTCATTGATGAAAATAATAATAAATCCTGATCTATCATTGGCATCTAGGCAGTTTTAGAAACAGTGTGCAATTTCATTTTTAGCAAAGGTTTTTTTGATATCCATAAATTATACTCTTGGTATTGTGGCCATTGGAAGTCAATTGGAAAAAAATCCTGTAATTTACAGGAGAAACATGGTTGAAGGCACAAAAGTGAACAGTTCCAGGAGGCTAGGGGTTAACTTTCGCATTATTGTCTCACTTGGACTAATCGTAAGCTTTCGAATCACCTGAGATTGTTTGACGTTATGGTGTGTTGATTAATTCGAGATTGATGCAGAATGTAGGAAATTGGGTTTCTTTGGTCGCTTTTGTGAAAAAAATCCTGTAGGCTTTTTGTCCAGAAATTTCCGTGAACCAGATTGGAGAGCAGGAATATTATCACATAGGTGAGCAGTACACTAAGGTGATCATGATCCAAATCGTATAGTTGTTATTATTAGCTGTAATTATTTCCTGGATTTGG